TGGGCTACAGCATCCGAAGAAGTGGGCTGTAGCCCATGAAAGCTTATGCTCAAATAAATTTGTTAGTCTCTAAGGTGCCACAAGTACTCCTGTTCTTTTTGCGGATACAGACTAACACGGCTGCTACTCTGAAACCTGTCATTTAGAAAATAAATACCTGGAATTTGTACACAAGAGCCAAAAAAATTTCTTTCGGAAACAAGAACAAAGAAAGCATTAAAAAAAAAAAAGCTAAAGAAGCTTCCTCAAAAAGCCTTAGAAGAAAATTGCAAAATGCAAACACTGCTGGCAAGAGCCTTTTTCTTCCAGCAGCCATAGATGTGTAGAATTATGATTGGAGAACAGCAATGGCATTGAAAATCATTCCGATGTCAAATAATTCTATCCCTTGGCACAATGATGATCTTGCAGAAAACGGCCAGGACCAGTTGTAAGTACAAGTTAAGAAGCGTAAAAGTTTTACACCGAAGCTTGATGAATCCACAGACATAGCCAACATAGTTCAGCTTCTCCGTTATATGAAATTTGTCACAGCAGATACAATAGCTGGATTTTTATTTTACAAAAAAGCCCAACTCGAACAACAAGTGAGAAAATACTCAAGATCCTTGCTAAATTCATAGTGGATGAAGGTCTTAACTGGGCTGTGTGCGGAGGAGAATGTGTGGGGAGGGGGCTGCAGCCATGACTGGAAAGAACAGGGACGTTGCAGCACGATTAAAGAAAGTGACACCAGCATCAATTTGGAAACTGTATGATTCATCACCAAGCTTTGGAATTGAAGAATTTGCAACCTGAAGTATATAAGACTCTCAACATTGTTATTAAAAGTGTTAATTTTATAAAATCCTGGGCAGTGATCACCAGGGATCCTAGACATCTATCTACCATGGAAAAATATATGGAATTTGCATTTTTACAGGGAATCTTCAGTTTTTACATTTTGTGAAAAAATAAAAACATATACAGTAGTACCCCATTTAGCCGAGTCTCCATGAACCGGCTCTCCATATTAAACACCCTGGGGCTGATGGCGGGAGCCCTGCCATCCCGGGGCTCCCCTGTTAGCCCGAATTTGGTTAATATGGAGAGCCAGATAACGGAGGCTCGGACAAACAGGGTTCTACTGTATCAATAACATTGTGTTCAACTGATACCTATATATGTTGTGGCTAGGGAAACTGAAATTCAACATTTAATTTTAATCACAGAAAAACATGGATTTTTATGTTTCTTATAGGAGAATTTTTTTTAAATCACAGAAAACTAGGATCCTTGGTGATCATACACTCTTTCAGTATGTTATGTGAACAAATGGGCACTGACCACAGGCAAGTTTTGTTTAATAGCAAAGGCAGGTGGTTTTGAATTGTGTGATGAAATCAGAATTTTCCTCCTTGTGGAAAACAGACCTTGCAGATTACATATGTAAGTGGACTTCTTTACTACATTGGGTTAATCAGTGGACATATTAGCAAATGGAATGCACTGAACCTAACACTTCAAGGTTGGAATGCAAATATACTAGATTTAAAAGAGAAAATCAGGGGATTAATGAAGAAAGTTTGTCTTTGAAGATGCCACATTGAAAAGGGAGTTACTAAGATGTTTCCAATATTATCAGACTTTTAAAAAGAACAAAGTGAAAGTCATCAAAATGGAATTAACGACCCAATATTTACTCATTTGTCTAGATTGTATTCCCACTTTGATGAATATTTTCCTGAAATTGAACATGAATCTCCAGATTGATTGCATTTGAAAGACATTCTTGGTAACAGCTGACTCAATTCCAACCTTAGGTATCTCAGCTCAAGAAAATCAATTGTCAAGTGATCACATGCTAAAAACTCACCAAATTTTCAAAAATGACAAATCAGGAATTCTGGATTTCTGTTAGGGGAGAGTACAAAGAACTCAGTGATGAAGCTATGAAGGTACTGCTTCCATTTAGTTTTAGTTATTTCTGTGTGTCTGCATTTTCAGCAATTGTTTCCAGGAAAACTAAACACAGAAATCATTTAAACTTGGAAAACAAGTAATATCCGGCACTATCAGAGATTCAACCAAACATTGCTCAACCATACAGTTCAGAACAGGTCCATTCTTTTCACTAAAATTTTAGGCTCTGTCCAAAGACACCAACCCCCTCCCCCACTCCCCGAAAACCCTATAGTTTCAAACTATAGTTTTAAAAACCCAGATTAGATCAGATTATATAATTAAACAAACTATATATAGTTAAAGTCACAAAAACCATCCAAACTCTAGAATCCATCTTGATTCTAGTATCCTGCGTCAGTAAAAAAAAAAAGGCATTTGGTATAGGGAGCCACCACATTTTAAAATATCTGTAAGGGAACTGCAGTACTAAAAAGTTGGTGGACTACACTGTAGACCATCTTTAAAACATTCTTTAAAATCTTCCTTCTTTGTCAGAACACATGTATGTATGCAGTTTGTTTCCAAAGAAATGCTTCTGTAAGCTTCTGTAACCCTTCTCTAAACAGAGAGACCTCACACATCATATACAGCTCTAACTTATCCCTTTCTGCCGTTTGCCTTTTTTGGTACCTTAATGGGAAAAAAATGAAACAAACGTCAGTCTCTGTTATTAAATACATCCATTCTAATTCTGTGTCCCGAATAAGCTAATTCTATCAAATCAAGGTTACACTTTTTCTTTCATGGTTAGCAAAGCCATTTTTATGAGAAGCTTCACTGCCCCATGTGGAAGAGATGCTCTGCCCATGTTAGGCTGACTAAAGAAATGTCATCTATATATACATACTAGGCTAACTCACTAGTATCCTCTAACACCCAATATATGAAACACTTAAAGGTTGTCAGTTTCTCTCTCAACATCAGCAGTGCGCAGGGCTACTGCTGTAAGGGAACGGCTGGCATATTTCACTAGCACCAGGATATACCTCTTCCCTTTTTGTCTGCCTATATAGCAGGCCCAAAATATCCAGCGTGACCCTTTGAAATTGTTCTTCTGTTATCGGAAATGGACTTAAGCTAACTTTGCAGTTCTCTTCTGTTTCTCTACCTGTTAGCACCCATGACAGGGCTCACCGTATAATTTTACTGCTTGATATACTTCAGGCCACTAAAAGTTTGGGGTTAGCTTTTCTCTTGGTCCATTAAATGTCTAGCTAAGTAAATATAATGGGTAATGCACAGTAATTTGGACTGGTACCTTTGACAGCACTAATTGCTTGCTTGTTTCCTAAGCTTTAATATTCCCCATGGGAACCTGTCCCCTTTAGAGAGGATTATTCATTTGTGAATAGCTCTCTTTGCTTCTGTGAGAGTTGCACAGACTCTAGTTATCTGATGAACAGGGCCTCTGTTCTTCTGGTCATGGCCTCTGAGGCCACTCTGGAGACAGTATTAGGTAAGTCAATCCCTCTCAATGGCTCTATCCAGTCTCCAGTAACATCTGGAGGGGACATTTCCTCTGTCTCAGGATCCGCCACAATTCAGAATTTTGTTGACAAGAAGCTGCTGTATTAACTGCTTCCGTGCCAGAAGTTAACTCAGTCACAGGTTCTGTGTTTGTAGGGGCTGCTTTTTGAGCTTGGTGCCGAGTGACAATTAGACAATTGTGACCAATTTCATTCTCCATAACATCCCTCCTAGAAACTCAATGTGAAGACCTCGGGCCCTTCAGTTTAAGAAAGATTTAACATGGAGGTTCCCAGAGCACTTTCTGGTGGTCCACACAGTGAGGTGGCTGGTCACAAGGTGCTGGCACCTCCTTATTTCCAGCTGCTAATGCATATGCCAATTTAGCTACAAACACTTTTAAAAATTAAAGATACTTTTAATACTACTATCTTTCCAGGTAAGCAATTGCTGCAGTTGCCATAGGGCTGTCGTGTGACATTGAATGGAAGGAGAAATGGGGCACAGCACGGTGAACAGGAGGGGAGGTATAATCAGAGAATCACTCTATTGAAATTGATCCACGCCATGGAGAAGGTTGAGAACCCCCGACATAGGCTATTGGTATTGCAAAGGAGAGGACAGCAACAGAATGGAACAAACATAACAGCAATGGAAAGCCAGCAGCGATAACTATGGAGGCAACAGTAGTGGGAGCCTGTGGAGGGCCTGGATCAATGATTCAAATCCATGTATTAAAAAAAAGGCAAATTTTGAATTATGAGGTTATAATCCTCTCATAGTTTATGATATCACCACAACCCAGCATAGAATTATAGCCCTATAATTCACATTTGTCTGTTACAGCACTTATTCTAGATATATTTTCTTCAAACCCAGAGATTGTCATTTTCTAAAGTTCTCGTCACTACCGCAACTGCCAGTGATGGATAATCTCAAGTAGTTATGTGGTGTTGAACATACAGGTCTGTCATAACTGCAAATCTAGCTCTTGATCACGCAATCAGATCTGTGCAGGTAGGATATCAGGGTCTGCCCATGCTGATCAGATTGCATGCTTGGACCAAATTTGAATGAAACAATAATTCAATTGACTAGCCTTGGATATGATTTTTTTTAAATTGAAACAGGATTAAAAAAGAACTGGAAATTTACAAAGGAGATGACTTGGAGAATGTTTGTGAAGCTCTTCAAACAGAAATTGAATTTCTGCAGATGGTATGCTCTTTTTATTTAGCGCTCCTAATTTCCATTAAATTTAGGCCCACCATTTGCAAACTGCCTAGAGACCCATTCTTCACTGAAAAGGGAAAATCAGAAAAACATTATCTGTTAAGACTGAGAAATTTTCAGCAAAAGATGCAGGGATTTAGTTGTAGGGCCACCATTAATATTAGCCGCTTGAATGCTGAACCGCTTGAATGCAGATCTTGCAGTAGGAGCTACATTGACCCTAGACAGCAACCTTTATTGAAATAGACATGTAGCAATTGGGGCACAGGGGAGTACAACTCTCAAGTATTTATTGAATGTTGTAAACTCATAGGGTTCTTTATGGAAACTGACTAGAGAAGACTGCATATTTTCTGCAAAATAGCAACCTTTTCTTCAATTTTCATAACTGTTAGTTTGTGTCACATTAGCTTTATTTATTCAACACTTGTGATTTTATGAATTTTACTGCTCTTAATATTAATTTTTAAAAAGGAGGGGACAAACACATTGCAGGTAAACACTTTAAGGGTCTCATTTTCAGGAGTGAAGGGTTTCTGTTGATGTTTTGGAGTCTCTGGTCTAGCTACTGTTTGATGATACAACTCCCACTAGGAAAAAAAAATGTGGCAGTAACAGGATATGACTTATTTGGATTTATGTACATTGGTTTCGATGAACAGTTAAAATGTTTGTGGCAGAGTAATTTATTGCATAACCTTTTATTAGGAGGGATGATAACCTTGAACCTCATTCATTAACTTTATCAC